TAAAAAAGACAAGAAAGCAGCAAAACTGGTACGAGTTCCTTTTCAAAACGAAGACGAAGCGGAGCTCCGCAATACTTGCGATACAACCAACGCATAAAAAACATAAGGAAAAGAATTTAATTGTTGAAAAAAACTAGATGAATCAGGCACAAAAATTGTGATTTCAAAAAATGGATTGTGCCCAAAACCTTATTTGTTTCTCTACTAAAATAAGTAAGAAAAGTAAAAAAGTTCTTTCGTTTTGAGAAGTTTCCAGAAAACTGTCAAAAAATCTAAGAAACGGTCAAACATTTGTCCAAAATCCACTTGCACACTTTTTGCAAAAAGCAAGTTGTGGTCGCTTTAGCAGCAAAGATTCCCAAAACTCGGTTTTTAGACTGAAAACAACATGAGAATTGGCACGGTAGTTTTCGAGTAAAGACTAAAAGTTTCCAAAATTTCGTTTGTTTGAAGGCCAACACTTTTTTCTTAAACAAACTGGAAATGGTAAGTTTTAAAGGTAATCTTTCAACAATCTGTTGTTTCAATTAAGCTTATGATATCAGATTTTGTAGGATAGTTAGCGAGAAAGATCCAACAAACGGTCGACAAATCAAAAATTTGACATTTCCGAGAATCGAAGGGTTTTGTGAAAAAAATGGCGTAGCCGTTTGTTAAGTGGGGATCAACTCAACTTTAAACTTCCATTGAAACAAAAATCTCAGATTTGTGGCGGTAGTTTCCCCGAAAATAAAGTCAAAGTTTTGGAAAAACGGTAAAAAAAAATGAAGTTTTGATTTTTTCGATGGCCATAAAATGTGGCCTCAGAATTAATTGGAGGTAGTCGCATACGCAAATGTTTGCACCTTTTCTTTTGACCGTTCTTTGAATTGATTCTTGAATCTCAGATATGGTGGGGTAGTTTTTGAGAATAATCAAAAAGCTCAAAAAATTGTCAAAAAGTCAAAAAATTGACGTTCCAAGAACCATAACTTTTTGCGTAACAAATTGTGATCAGACGCTGACACAGGGGAAGTTCCCACTACCCATTATCTCCATTGAAGCCAAACAATATCTAGAAATTCGTTTTCGAGAAAGGTGAAAAAGAGTCGCAAAATGGTCAAAAATCAATCTATTCCGAGGGCCATAATTTTATGGTTTAGAAGAATTTGGGAGCAGCTACTTCTGCCGGCAACTTTTCAAAACCACTCGATTCATTGAAACCACAAAACAGATATGAAAGAGGTTTCTTTCAACAAAAATATATGAAAAATATTACCCTACAGACTTTTTCAAAGTAAAAAGGGGTCAAGTAGAAAGAGAATCGACTCCATGGGAGTATGCAGGCGCACAGGGGAGTAGGCGGTCTTTCAATTGTTAGCCTATTTTGAAAATCAGGAGAAGTTTCTGAGAAAAACTAAAACTTTTCTTATCAAAATGGAAATAACTTTTCAAATTGAAAAAAAAATCAACAAAACGATTGGTAAACATATAACCAACATGAAAAATGCGGAGGGCAGTGTTCAAGTTGTGTTTCACTTGAAACGACCCAAAACGAGGTCATTACGCTGATAGAAATTAAGCCACAATAACTTGGGCCGAAAAACCTTTTTTTAGCGAAACGAAAACAAACAAAGAAGGAAATACGAAGTCAAGGTAAGTAAAATTACAAATCATAGGAGTAAGTCAAAGACTAAAAGCAGTATTAAGCAAAAATGCCCGCAGCAAAAAAAAACGATTCCAAGTTGTGACAACTAAGACGACAACAGATAAGCAGACAAACAGTCGGCCGACAATTGCAAATGAGACAGAATATTTCCTGTTAAGAAAAAAACAGATCAGGTCAGATTTGAGCCCAGGACCTTTGCCGTCCCAGGCATATTCGTTATCTCCAGACTAAATTGGCTGGGAACGCTTGGAAATATGAATTCAATATGAGCCAAGATACAAGTGATTCCCGAAGAAAAAATCTATATTCCCTTTTGATGACGCTTGCTAATCGCGAGCGTAATTACAATGAGCTCATTTTCAAAATTACATAAATTTCTTGTTATTTCAAACTTACATGGAATTCATTTTCAAAATTATATGAAAATTAATTTTTCAATGTACCTTAAAAATCTGTGATTGAGGAATTAACATGCAACTGGTATTTTAACCATTGATCAATATATAAACAAAATTGTCTCCGCATTTTGAAATCTTTTCTCTTAAGTCGTTTTTTATTTTGATATATTGTTCAAGTTAGTTTGATTCTTTATTCAACTATAAAAAAATTTATGTTATTTTTATTTTCGCTTTGAAAGATTAAAAATTCATCTTTCTTATAAGAGCGGCAGAAAATGAACCAATTCTGATTGGTTTAAAATGGTCAAGTTTTCTGAAAAAAAAAGGTCGAATAATGAGTTTTTGAAAAGAAAAATTGTCCAAATTGTCTTCACCCTCAAAAAACAAAATGGTAATTATTTGTTATCTAAGGCTCATTTCAATTATTTATGTTAAAACTGCGTCACTGGGTAATTCAGGAATTCAGAAATTTAAAGTGCCTTTTTGAAATTAAAAACCATTCACATTTTTTTTGTGATCTTTACACAATTCGATAAGGTAGTGTGCTGTCCTTTTAACAATGGACAGGAACTGAACTTGAAGAAAAAACTAGCCGCGAAAACCAAAAAATTCAACAGACGATCAAAATTTAATTTTTTTTTCTCAAAAAAATAAACAAAAAATTCAACACGACCTAAGTAAAAAACAAAAACCTTAATCTTTTACAGTATATGCAGATTACTTTCACAATTTCAAGATATTTAAAGGTTAAAAGTTTGGGTAATTTTCGTTGAGAGCGTAATTAGTTTTCCATTAAGGAAATAATTTCAAGGAAAATTATAGTCAGACAACCAAAAATATGCTCAAGAAAGAACAAATTTGAAAAATTTCCGAAGAAAACCACACATGATCAACAAAATTCTTTTTTTAAAGAAAATTTAAACATAAGCAACAGACACTAGAAAAACCGTCACAAACGCAAGTAGAAAAAATTACTTACGTTTTTAGAAAAACTTTTAAAAGTTCGAAGAAAAAAAAGATGACCTTGGATTTCTTTGAATTTCTAGAACAATTTATTTTGAACTTTTTTTGTAAAAAAAATTTATTCCGCTGCGACATCTAGTAATTAAAACCCACATTCGAAATTAAAAAATGAACTGAACTGAAAAGTCAAACCGCGAAAAAGTACATTTGAGCACTCAAATTTTGAGATTTCAAGAAAAAACTATCATGACCTATTAAGTATTTATTGACTCACATTGATTGAAATTTATATGACAACTTCATTGACTGTAATATGAAAACTATGAAAAAAGGCAAAGCTGCTCTTTGTAAACACAAGCGATGATACAAAAAAGAGCTCTTTACAGGCCAAACAATGTAGGGAAACAAGAAAAATTTTGCAAATACAGCTTGAGAAAAAACTTCCAACAATTGTATTTTCACTCACACTAGCCACTAATAGGGCCGCTACATTTTCTATAAAATGTTCAATGCTCCGCATCGAAAATTCGAGCTACGTCTTTGTATCTGCGCCTCGGTCGCTTCGAAGCAAACTATTGGCCCAGATAATGCTGGATCCACCTGTTTTAATATTTTTAATCAAATTTTACTGAACGGAAAAGCGTAATTTTCCAAAAAGAGGGATTTACGCAAAACCCTAGTGAAGTAGGCAATTAGCCATTTATTTTAAGGAGAAAACTACTACTCGTTGTTTCAACTGAAGTCCTATTCTCAGATTTGGCTGGATAGTTTTCGAAAAAAGTGAAAGATTCCAGAAAATGATCAAATCTCAAGAACTCGACTTTTCCATAATTCGGAAATTTTTCTTACTAAAGAATAGGACTAGCCTTTTATGCGGGAAGATGTCTACATCCTGGCTGTTAGATAGAACTATTGATATCAAATTGAGCTAATAAGTTTCAGGAATAGTGATGAAATTTCTATACGGTAAAAAATTCAAAAAATGGATTTTTACGAAGTCCATGTCAGCTTTTCTACAAATAATTAGTGTCAGACAGATAGCACCATATTAGTTGGAATGAACTATAAACCTCAGAATCATCAGGTTGCTTTTTCGATAAAAAAAATAAGTTTCCAAAAATTGGGCAATAGTTCAAGAAATGGATTTTATCTAAGGCCAATTTTTTTTCAAAATGAAGGGCAAAGACGCTTCCGAAGAAAAGCTTCGCATAATTGATTTTTTTAAGACCTATCCGATTTGGCAGGGTAGTTCTTGAAGAAATCAGAAGGGTAAATATTTAACAAAACGTCAAAAAACGGGCTTTTTTGAGGCCATAACTTTTTTCTACCGAACTTAGGGAATAGCCTCTTGAGAAGAAGAGATCCCCATAGTGTACTCTTTGGATTGAAACCTTCATCTCAGTTTTGTGCATTTAACAGTTGAGAAAATGAAAAAATCTAAAAGAAATAGGTCAAAACTCCATCTACTGAAACTTTCGAAGGCCGTAGAACGTGTAGTAAAATGAAAACAGACTAGCGAAATATTCACGTACAAAGCAGAGCAGCTGGTTTTTCTACTGGTTCAATTTTTTGAAAAAATGTAATTTAGCGAAAAGTGCAAAAACTTGCCTAAGCGTTGCATAAAACAACAAAACCCGTACACTTTCATATTACCTGTATTTTTTTAAACAAGACTTAACACTAGCCAAAAATAAGGCAGCAGCATATGCTTGTTATTGCTTGAGCTTAAATAGGCTTTAAAAAGATTAAACTGAAATGCATCAAAATTCCACCAAATGACCACTTTATTTGAGACTTAGGTAAGAAAAAAATTCTTCGTAATAATACACTACGGCGGGCTTGTGTAAGAAGGTTAATTCAATACAGACATCGCTTCAAAATAAATCAGTAATTTTTTTGAAGAACAACATTCTTTCGACAAATTTTTTTGACTCATGATATTCTTTCAAAATTTAGGAAACTTTTATGCGTAAATTATTTGAGGTTTCATGCATTAGATTGATTTTTGTTTTATATAAAATTTGGTGAGTTAGAATTCGCAAATAGAAAAAAAATGAAGTTTTGACGTGTTCAATGATGACCAGAGTATATCCACTTTACTCTGAGCATTTCGTATTCGCAACAAGTCTCTGTCTAACTTTGCTTGTCCAGAAGCTGTTGAAGCATTTCCTGGATTTGAGCTAGTTGTTTTCCGTTCTCTCTAGATTGATTCTCCAGCAGTGCTATTTGAGTTCTAAGTCCTTTGTCAGCCTCGTCGAATCTAGGCAGAAATAAACCAAAACTTTCAGCTGTCAAAATTTGTGAAAACTCCACAAAAACTTCAAAACGATGTTCCAGTTTTTCTCAAAAACGCTGTTTCAGACTTTTCAGTTGAGCTAGGGAATTTTTTGGCATTGATAAAACTAATCAGGTAAAAAAGCTAATGACACAGTAAAAAAGGAATAATTCAACTCCGATAATTACAAATATAGTAAGTAAAGCTAATCGAAAAAAGAAGGCAGAATTCAAAAAGTCGAAAAATGAAAATGGTGAAAAACAACTAGATCTATCGATGTTGAATCAAAAACTCACTTTGAGCAAAAACGACTAAAAAGACAATTCTCAGCATAAAAACATAGCCAACAGGCAGTTAGACAACAGCCAATACAAGTGAACATGAAAAAAAAAACTGACTTCTTTTTAGAAAAAACTGAAACTTTCGAATTTCAAAAAATGGTCATCTCTAAAGCCTTTTTTGAGCAGTCTAAGGCCATTTTTTGAATAGCCATATGTTCGAGTGGAGTTTGTCTTACTTTACAAAGGAAACGAACTGAACTTGATGAATGCACTTTTTTGATAAAATTGACCCATATTGAGAAAACTGGATTATTCGGTAGTTTTATTTTGCTGGGAAAGCTGATAAAGGCATTCATTTTCGAAACTACAGTAACGGGACATAGAAGATGTAGCTTTTGATTTGAACGAGAAAAAGAACGAACTTTTTCTTCACATTTTGTTAGTTTTTTCTGCATCTGATTTAATATACAGGATTCAAATTTTGACAGAGGGAAGATGAATTTATTTGAAAGGGGTTAACCAGGCCAAAAAAAAAATTCTTGTTTTGAAGGCGTAAATTAGCAAGCTTATTACCACTAATTTCACAGGTGTTCTTGCTGTGGAAACAACTTCACAAACATTAAAAAATTTTTTAATTACTGGGCTCAAATAAGTTCACTGGGAAGCCTATGAGCTAGACTTACTGATTATGTTGCCTAAAAAGGACATAGAAAGAGGAGTTAGTTGGTCCGGCGTCGAGAAACGTTCATCTATTTTCCCGGCACATACACAACAATTTCATGGAGCTTATATCAGAAAAATGGACAAAACCTACACAAAGCACACCTGCTAATGAAACTCCTGTGCTTAGATTGGACCAGTATTTTTAAAAAGATTTGCTGGAATGTTTCTTGTGCTGACTGAATTCGATGATCAGCTCGAACTTATTCACAAAATTAAAGCCCTATTTTACGCCTGAACAAGCAAATCTGGTAATTCTGTTACATTTTTAGGGATCATAATATGTAAATCAAGCTCATCAAACTCCCAAAGAACAAAATTGAGCCCATTAATTCGAATTCCTTGTATTGTTTATGTGGTTTTTTCCACAGCAAGAACACCTGTGAAAGTAGTTATGATAAGTTAGCTAATTTACACCTTCAAAACAAAATTTTTCAACTTTCGGCCCAGTTAGGCCCTTTCAAATAATTTCATCAAAATTGAATCCTGTATCTCACAAAAGTTGCAGAAAACGAGTAGAGCGTGAAGAAAAATTTCGTTAATTTTGTCGTTGAAATCAATAAGTTGCAACTTCTATGCCCTGTTGAGCCAAGAAAACGATAAAAAAGCTATAGATAACAAAAAAGCAGTAAAAAATTAAAAGAAATGTAAATCTTGAACCAAGATTGAAAAATCCAAACAGAAAGAAATTTTGAAAACAAAAAACTTCAGAAAGGGTGGTTATAGGAATAGAAAAATTATGCATAAGAATTTACCTCAAACCAGTTTGTTGAACGAAGTTTTTTGGAGTTTAAAAAAGAGGTTCCTGGATCAGGTTGAAAAATGGAGACTGGTATGGGGGAAGTAGAGCTTGACTTACCTATTATGTTGCCTAAAAAGGACATAGAAAGAGGAGTTAGTTGGTCCGGCGTCGAGAAACGTTCATCTGTTTTCCCGGCACATACACAACAATTTCATGGAGCTTATATCAGAAAAATGGACAAAACCTACACAAAGCACACCTGCTAATGAAACTCCTGTGCTTAGATTGGACCAGTATTTTTAAAACGATTTGCTGGAATGTTTCTTGTGCTGACTGAATTCGATGATCAGCTCGAACTTATTCACAAAATTAAAGCCCTATTTTATGCCTGAACAAGCAAATCTGGTAATTCTGTTACATTTTTAGGTATCATAATATGTAATTCAAGCTCATCAAACTCCCAAAGAACAAAATTGAGCCCATTAGTTCGAATTCCTTGTATTGTTTATGTGGTTTTTTCCACAGCAAGAACACCTGTGAAAGTAGTTATGATAAGTAAGCTAATTTACGCCTTCAAAACAAAATTTTTCAACTTTCGGCCCAGTTAGGCCCTTTCAAATAATTTCATCAAAATTGAATCCTGTATCTCACAAAAGTTGCAGAAAACGAGTACAGCGCGAAGAAAAAATTCGTTAATTTTATCGTTGAAATCAATAAGTTGCAACTTCTATGCCCTGTTGAGCCAAGAAAACGATAAAAAAAAAGCTATAGATAACAAAAAAGCAGTAAAAAATTAAAAGAAATGTAAATCTTGAACCAAGATTGAAAAATCCAAACAGAAAGACATTTTGAAAACAAAAAACTTCAGAAAGGGTGGTTATAGGAATAGAAAAGTTATGCATAAGATTTACATCAAACAGTTTGTTGAACAAAATTTTTTTTTCATGAAAAAACGTCTGTTGTTAGTTTAAGCTCCGCGAGGACACGGCCTGCATGTACAAACCAAGCCTTAGAAAGGTCGCAATTTCGGTGCGACGAAGCCAAATGTCTATTTGAGTTTAAAAAAGAGGTTCCTGGATCAGGTTGAAAAATGGAGACTGGTATGGGGGAAGTAGAGCCGGGGTAGTTTGAGGGATAATTGGTTTCAATACGATTCAGGTACGTATTAAAGAAGGAGCTGTACTCGGCTCACAAATGGGATTTGTTGCTTCTGCTTCTAGTGGAACGAGGGAGTGATTGTTTGGCGGCGGAGATATCAGGTGGTCTGAGAGGCAGGACTTAGTAGCATAGTAGCGGATGCGATTTTCCAAGATTAAAAATAACAATCTGAATGTTAAAGATCTTTTGCGCTCATCTCTTTGCGCCCTATTAAAACGCGGAGAGGAGCAGTTTTCACTGATTGCAGTTTGTGTAAGGATCTGTTCACTGGCATTATGTGACCAGGCAGGACTCGCATAACCTAAAATTTGTCTTACCAAAGCTTTAAAAGTAAGCAATAAAATTTCTTTGGACAGATCCCAAATAGTCCCGGATAGAACCTTCAGGATCGTAATCATGCGCACGGCTTTTGAGGATGTTCCTCGCAAAGTTCAACGAAATTTAAAGACCGATCGAAGACGGCTCTAAGTATTTAGGAATATTTCTCGACGGACAGGTTTGCGTTATTCATTTCCATTATCGGAACGTTGTCAAAATCATTGTTGAGAGAAGAAAAGCTGGCCAAATCTTTCGAAGAAAAAACCTTGAGGTAAAAACATATGTTTCATTTTATGTGCTAGATTTTGGATAAGATTGATCAGGCCATATAAATTTTGGAGTAGACAAAAACGTGGAAGTCGTCCGCGTAAGCTTGCAGTTTTACATCGGGGGCAATAATGAAGAGTCATAAACGTTAAAATTAAATAATGTTGGGGATAAGACAGCTTTGACGGACGCCTGTATGACCACTCCTAGATTTTGACAAGGTATCCTTGAACATAGTTTTTGATTGTTGCCCACCACCCACTCAGGTGACTTGACAACCACTTTATTAGGCTTCCCGTTAAGCTCGTGCCATGACAGAGATTCAGTAGGGTATAATGGCTGACCATGTCGAAAGAGTTTGATAAACCAAGTGTTTCTAGGACTGTCCTATTCGGAGGCCTTTATTGGTTAAAAGTTGAAAATGTTGTGGTGGTTGAATGCATCAGTGGAAAACCATGCTGATGATTAGCTTTGAAAAGGATTTTGGCCAGTGTGGGATAGATCAAAGATTCTGAATTTTAAACAGCTGGACTAAAAATCGAAACAGGGAGGTAAGATTCCAACGAATTGAGGTCTTTGTTTGGCTTCGGGAGCAGAACCACTTTAGAATTTTTCTAAAGTAACTACTAAAGAATTGGAAAATCATTGTTTATCTCAAGAGTAGTTTAAAAAAGTCGAAATACTTTTTTTTAGATAAATAGAAATAGCCTTGCAGTTATCATTTCTATAAGTCTACTTTCAACAAGAAAAAGAGAAGTTGCTCTTTCCCAGTGTTTCTCTACATTCTTGCTGCTAAAGTTAGGTGTCTTAACTGCTATCTTATTGTCCAATTGAATAGATTTGAAAATTATTTTTTACGTAGAGTAGATGCCAATAAAAAAATTTTGACATCTGGAGCAACTTTGAGAATTTTAATTATGGGATGGAGGGGGAAGGCGATGAGAAACTGTAAGAAAAAGTCAGAACAGCCTATGATTTATGACGGTGGTTCCTACTTCTGGGTTAGTTGTACGACTTGTTTGGACACGTCCTCCCCCTGTCTGCTACTCCTCTCCATCATGAACTCCTCCTTCACCTCCTCTTCGAACAGTAACAGTTCATACATCCGGGAGGTGCTCACATCCAACGCTGAAATAATTCAACATCTAACCCAAAAGTCAACTACTTTTTTTATTCGGCTTTTTCTCTGCTAAGCCACCAAAAAAAAGAAAACCACTGACAATTCAAATTAAATTTCTCATTTTTTAAAAAACTTGGATAACGAGTCATAGTCAACACAACACGATTCGTAGTCAAACAAGCATCATGATTAAATACATTCAAACCAGTAATAAATTTTTATAACTCAAATTTTGTAACTCAAGCATAGCCACCAGACAGTTGAACAGAAACATTTCACCCTTTAGGGGGGGGGGGAGGGGGGTCGTTCAGTTGGTGCATTATAACTACTCACTGAGTCCCTTGGACTGTTTGACCTCCTGCATGTGGCTCTTCCATCTGAGCAGAAGGAACAGGTGGTATATGATGGAGAAGGGAGGGGGGATGGGGGGTCGAGTGTGGTACTCCACTATCACGTCCAGTCGCTTATTTTTCCAGTCTGTCAACGACTTCTCATTCACCTGCTCATAGATAGAACTAGAACAAAATTACACAACCATGAACACTGCAATGTATTTAGAGACAATTTATACATATACAATTTGACATTGCCGAAAACGTCGTGTTTTATGTCCAGACTACCGCGACCAAACAAATTAAGGTTGTCTCCAGACAATCGCAATGAAGATTGAGTATTTCCCAAATTTCTCGACCTAAACTTATGTTTAGAGATGTTTCCTAACTCAAAGCACCGACGCAACTTTTCGCTGAAAATGTTGAATACCCGGGATGACCAAAAATACTAGTCATACAATTTCCATATATGGAACAATGCTAGTCATACACTTTCCATACAATTCCATACGTACAGAAAATTGCATGAAAGGTCTATGATTAGTATTTTTTTCATATATGGAAATTGTATGAATAGCATTTTTCCATAGACTAAGTGTATGAAATTGTATGATTAGCATTTTCGGTCTATGGAGGTCAACCCGGGTATGCTGTATAAATTAGGCATTTCATTTATTTCACGTTGTCATGAGTATATTTGGCTAATTAAGCGATAGCATAAACAATTCTTAATGGGAAATTATTTATCTGATTAAGTTGAGATCATGTGTAGAGATCATATGCTAAGGTCTATCGTTCTGATCACAGGCCCATATGAACTATGTTCAGACTTTCGTTGGGTCTTATGCACTAAACGGCCCAAAATCAGTATTTCTTCATCTTTCTTGAAGTCAAATTAATAAGGTTGAAATCACATTGTCCTGCATTTCAATTGAAATTTCAAGCAGATAAATAAAGTTCAAATCACATTGTCCTGCATTTCAATTGAAATTTCAAGCAGATAAATTTGTTGGCCGACATGACCAAAACAAGAAAATTTTTAATCTGATGAAGCCATTGTTTGAATTTTTCTCGGCAGAAAAACTTACTATGTGACTTGAAAATAACTTTATTGTTAGGCAAAGTTTAACATTTTGGTATTTTCGGCTACAATTTTTTTCTGCTGGAAGTTTTGATTGAATTGCCTTACCATGTTGGTTCAATTGGATTGGCTAATATTAGCCAATCAGATTTGACTGTATAAATTTCGGCTCAAGATATTAAAATATTGATTTTGGGCCGTTTACCCGGCCGGTTGTTCATCTATCTAATATCGAAAAGAAAAATGGCTCTTTTCTACTTTCCAATCTCCCCACTCGTAAGCCCACATAACAAATTTTTCCAAAAATTGTGTGAATTAAAAAAATGTTCAGACGGCAATTTACACCAAAGAAACGTTCAAATAGTTTGGTCACGCTGCCATGTTTTATTGCAGCTTAGAACCTAAAAATTCATTTCTATTAGGCTTTTGTAAACCGAATTTCTGAAAAAAACTGGAGACGAGCCAGAAGAAGAAGGAAGACAAGACATACGTGAAGAGTGCGATGAGCAAGTTCATAAGGAGGATGTTGCCTATGATCATGTAGATGGCTGTGAAGAAGAGGCTGGCTTCGGGTAGGAAGGGACAGGGCTGCAGACCACTCCCGTCATCATAGTGCTTCGTACAGTCTGAACAAACCAGATTAAGACCCTCTCTCTATCGGCAAGGCAAAGAATCATCATAAGAATTGCTCAGCTATTGACAGGAAAACACTTCAAATTTCCAGAGATGTTTTTCATCCACCCAAAATTAGGTAACATGATTCTGTAACAAACTCCATATAGAACATTTTTTTCCTTTTCACAGGAGTTTTGAGTAAATTTAAACGTTATTGTTCCGACTTTCGATACGAAAGTAACGGAATATTTGTGCTCGGGGTGGGTTTTTTTTTTCTTCAGACAAATTTCGACTTTTTAACTAGCCATTTTTGACGAAATTTTTTCTATCATTTAAAAGGTATTGTTGTCCTGAGCTTAAATTTGAAAAAATATTTCACATGTGGTCTTTTTTCGTAAAGTTATGAGGGTTTAAAGATTGCCATTTTGAGCAATTTGGGACAATTAACGCGCAATATAATTCGCGCTATTAACGCGTAAGCGGAGATTTAATCCGTCTTATAAATCGTTCCAAATTGGTTGAACGAAGCTTATTTGCCATAATTGATTTGTTACAAGGAACGAAATCTATCTTCTTATACTTTATATGGCGTGTGGGGGATGATTTTCAGAAAAAATTTCAAGTTATAGAAAAAAAAACTTCATTTTAGTTTATTTCATTTAAGTTTTTTTTGTTATTACTGCTGCTCCATAAACCTTCAAAGACAGTCGGAACATTCAGGGCTTCGCCCTGATACGAGCATTTTGATTCATTCAAGTTTGAAAAAATTACCTACGTTTTTTGTAACTGAAATTCCAATATTGGGCGGGGGCGGTTGGGGGGTGCGTATGGTCAATCCGAGTGACTAAATTGATTCACCAGCATGTTGTTTCAGAATTAATGCAAGCAATACATAAATGCGTCACTTTTTTACGCTATCGGTAAATTTAAGGGCAGCCATGCTAAATTTAATCTTTCCCACAAAAACGATTTAAAAAATTTTAAGAAACCCAATATGAAACTTGAATATCAAGCTAGTTGCCAAGACAAAAAAAGCCAAGACAACAAAAAATGTAAAATTAGCATCGGAAAATATTTACCAAGCGGTAACAACGATGAAATGAAAATCCATTTCATTCCTAGAAAAGTGAAACCACGGAGTACAGTCAAGCAAGTTATGGTCGACCATTAAATCTTTTTCTGGACAAAATCCACCAGAGACATCTAATACACCAATTATTTTAAATGATGTTCCACCAAACTAAGATGCTAAATTGTGCGTCAAGCGCTTCAATGAACAATATACCCCCCATCCAGATAAACCTAAGAGAAAACTGAAACATGCGTAGAATAAGAAAACTCCCACTCAAAGCCACCAATTTCACGGCTGTAGAACTGAAAACTCCCATTAAAGAAAGTAAAAAGAGTAAATCCCTGGGTCCTAGATAAGATTGCAACAATTCACCTTCACTAACTTGGACTGGTTGGCATAACATACATCACCAACGTTGTAAACACATCACTAAACAACGCAATAACCCCACGTAACTGGAAGTGCGGTCGAATTATCCCACTACAAGAACCGGCGAAGATCCTGAAAAATCTAAAGGATATAGGCCTATTGCACTGCTGTCTCTCTTTGCCAAACTAGTAGAAAGACTACTCCGACCCGACCTCAACCAGCGCATTGAACTGCCTTATCAACAGCATGGCTTCTGCAAAGCACGATCGACACTAAAAGCTTTAAATTTCATAACCGAGGGCCTTAACAAAAAAAACCCCTCTCATAGACCGCTACTTGTTGCTTTAGACCTAACCGCCGCATTTGATACGGTAAACCACCGAGTTCTTAAGGACAAATTTAGTAGCTCCCTCACTAACAACACAGAACGATGGCTGCTCTCATATTAACAAGAGCGCTTCACTTACGTCGAGTTTGGAAATCAGGCATCAAGCATGCGGAAAGTGAAATAAGGAGTCCCACACTAAGGTGTTCTTTCACCGGCTCTCTTTAAATTGTGTATGTGCTCCATGCCACAACCTAATGACAACACTGAAATAGTCACCTATGCAGATTACATTAACTTCTCACTTCTAGGCCCAATGCATCGGTACTACATATCCCCATGAACGCATACAAGGAAAAACTGCAAAATTGGCTCATAGAAAGACACCTTAATCTATCTCTTGATGATAAATTATGGACACATTATATACCACATGGTCTGCCGAAGTGAATCTTGAAACGAAGGTTGATACAGGTGTTTATCGCCTAGAACATCAAAAAGTCCCAAAATCCAAGGTAACACATTTGACAACATGATTAAATTTGGAGCACATAGACAAAAAATTTATGTTCACGAGCACATTCAAGGAACAATATGCTGAAAAAATTAGCCAGTACTAAATCGGGCTGCACAAAGGAGGCTTTATCGATAACCTACAAGGTCATCAGTCGTAGTGTTATGAGCTACGCGGCACCTATATGGTCACCCATCTTCAGTGCTACTAACTGGAATAAACTACAAGTTGAATAAAATGACGCGTTGAAAACTGTCACCGGATGTGTAAGAATGACAAATATAGACAGCCTGCACAATAAAACAGAGGTTCTCCCGGTGCCTAAGCAATATGCAATGCTATCAAAACAGTTCTTAGTTAGCAGCCACCATCCGAGTCGAGGGACTCTTGAAACAACAAAAGTAGTAGTTACGCTCCCCTGCTCCCAAATACAGCACAAATAAACCATACACATTACAAAAAGGGCCTCAAGCATCTTCACACAGAGGTTTAAAGACTATACCAAGAATCGTCCTAAGAAATTGCTCAATTCAATTTCACCAGAAATTGAGTTTAGTGAAAATGGCTCGACCGTGATGCCAGGTGCAAACTTGCTCAGCTCCGATCAGAATATTCTTCCTTGCAATTACCGGAGTAGGTTAGACCTAAAATTTCTAACGCCGGTGGAATTTGTAGTCAAGGCCCTCGTGATGTTAGTCACATATCTAACTATCGAAACAGACCGACAGATCTAGATGTCCTCAGTCTCAGGACCGACCATCTCAGGACCGACCATCTGAATTTCTTTGGCTCACATAGTACGGCGGAGTGGGAGAGCTTAAGTTCCTTCAAGAAACAATTAGCATACTGGAGTATGCTGACCTCACAACAACAAAACAAAACGAGGGACTTATTAAGACGAAGTCCGGTGTCAAAACGACGTTCAAATTTTCCACAAATGTAGTATGCCCTAAATATCCCGTCGGGGGCCAAAGACACTGGACTGTGGACGAAACGAAGCAACTCAAATAAACCTTAATCTCCTCCGAAGACCAAGAATCAACAAAAAAAAAACTCGCTGCCTATGAAGGAGACAAGGCCACAACAACAGCAACAACAACAACAACATGCAGAAACCCTTTAAGACGAAAAAAAAATCGATGAGACTTAAGACTTATAAAAAATTTAGTCCCCCTCGAAATCAAAAAAAAACACACACACACCTAAAATTTCATTTGCTCGTCATATGAAATAATATTAGGCCACTAATCCGATATATTATAGGCCGAAATCTATTACATAGAAGGAAACAAAACGAAACAAAAAACAGAGAAGAAAAAAATATATAAGATTTAAAAAGTTTTCAGGTCCATATCTCCCTCAAAGCACATACATGCACATAACTATTTCAAAAGCTGCAGTGAAAATTCCAAATAAGTGAGCATTTTAATGAAAACTTTTGTTTGCGAGTTGAGTTACAAAAAAACGAAAGTTCGTAATTACACACTAAGCTTAGTGCAATTGTAATAAGCCGAAACCTATCAAGCGGGGAAAAAAAAGGAAAAATAATAAAACAAAAAATTCGAAAAAAGAATTGTTGTCATGAAATTTAAAATTTCTATAAAGAACTTTAGCAATTCTTTCAATCTAGAGGTGCGCATAGATTAAAAATTTTTATTGAAAAAACTCAAAAATACTACACTGAGCCAAAAAAAACAAGCCGAAATCATTTGGGCAGAATAAATTTTTCGAGCGATGAAAAACAAACAAGGAACAATTACAAGTCAAAGTTAGTGAAATTACAAAAGGCAGAAAAAAAACTAAAACCGGGAAAAGTAACTTAAAACAGCAGAAAAATCAAAACCGAAGAAGCAACCACTTATAGCAAGGGCAAAAATACACTATTGGACAAAATTGAGCGTAAATTCAGGTTTTTACTCTTTGAAATTCCTTTTATTTGTCTATTTTGGACAAAAATTTCTTAGATTTTCAGCAAAAAATTACAAAAACTGAGAGCAAATGATAAGAGCTACCCCCTATGCAACTATCTATACAGAGGCGAAGTTGCAATTCGCATACACAAGCAAAAATATGACCGATAACGATACTGGGAAAAACTGAATGAGTAAAACTTTGAACCTAAAAAAATTTCTTAAGTTACGCAAGCCAATTACCACGCATTAGCAGTACCAGTCAATTTGAAAAAAGAAGAGATGTATCAATTACAGATGCCTCAATTTATATAGCGGACGCATTTTATCTAGTATACGAGAAGTACATTAAAAACATCCGACCCCGCCCAGGTTCGAACCCTCTATTTTGTTGCGAGTCTCCTCCCAACCTTTACGCTACAGATGCATGATACCTTCAAATTAAGGTTCTAACTGCCTTGTAAGTTCTATGGAGCAAAAATAACATGAAAAAATTGAATGTTAAAGTAAAACGATTTTTTTTGTTTGAGATTTCTGTGAAAATCATCCCCCACACGTCAGATAAACTACAAAGTGATAATGTTCGCTCCTAGTATCAAATCAATTATGGCAAATAGGTTTCCTTCAACCCATTTGGAATGATTTCCAAGGCGGATTAAATCTCCGCTTACTCTTTCATAGCGCGAATTACATCGCGCATTAATTTTCCCAAATTGACCAAAAGGGCAATTTTTAAACCACCATAACTTTACGAAAAATGATTATGTGTGAAATATCATGTGTTTCCAAGTTAAGCTCAAGGCAACAATACCTATTCAATGATGTAAAAAAAATTGTCAAAAACGGTTAGTTAAAAAGTCGAAACTCGGAAGAAAAAACCCACTCCAAGCACAAATATTCCGTTACTTTCGTTACAAAAATCGGAACAATAATAGTCGTTGTTAATATCCTTAGCTTTGGCTGTACTTAATAGCGGGTATTAATCAAAATGAAGAGTTTGAAAATGAACATATTTCATCGCAATAATATTTGCGTCGCAAAAATATTTGCTACTTAGGTTGAAAAAAAAATAGTTCATACTATAACACAAGCTATAATTGAGTAATGAATGGTTATTAGGACCTACCAGTGTAATCAGGGTCTGAAAAAGACAGATTTCCTCACCTGCCTTAAGTTTTCAATCAGCTTGAAAAAGTAATATACAGCAGATTTTAGTAAAGTTTTCACACTGGTTATTTCAAGTTTCCTTCTGAGAATATTTCACATCTTATGAACTAAAATTGTTCAAAACTCTTAGAAGAGAAAGAGTTCACAAACAAGCAAAACTTGGCGCAGATGGGGAAATCTGGCATTGTCGAAACCGCATTACAGTGTTCGGTTTTTGAAACCAAAAATTGGTAATTTTAGGGGGCAGCTCTGATCATTTGCTCTTGGTCTAAATTAAAATTTTGTTGAGAATCGAAGTCAATTTTGTTCAAAATGGACCTCAAAAAAGGTAACTTAGAAATCAAAAAGCTGAATTTGCGCTTAATTTTGTCCTCTTTACTTGTAGAGCGATAGGAAAGTCTAATGTTTTTTTTTCATCAATGATTACGAAAACATTATGGGGCCACTTTTCAAACATTCTCCAGAAAACCCAAGCTCAGTTTTTAGTTTGTGACAACAAAACAAAAAAGTTTACTTAGTTTTAATCAACACAGATGCGAATCTGCGCTTCGCAAACACTTGCGAGAGCAGGACCAAAAAGCAGCTCTATCAAGTGAAATAAGAAAAGGTACAAATAAGGCTGGAATTAGCAAAAACTCGGCTACGTATAGGATTCGAACCTGCGAACTACTGCAATCAAGAGACTTTGACTCTCACGTACTTTCCATTCAGCCACGCAAGCTTTACAACCGACAAACATTAGTCAGGAATAAAGCAGCTACATGTGCTAATAAATTGCCCAAGCAATTCAGCAAAGTGGCACCAAATACAAATAGACACAAATATGCAAGTAAAAACTTGGAATATAACAAACTGAAGGCATTCACACTAACTTTGCATGTAACAAACCGCAAAATATAAAGCTAGGTTATGTATAAATAAAGCATTTCAAAAAGTTGCGATATATTGCGAGTTAGAAAGTTTGTGAAATCGAGTTTTGATTATTGTTATGTTCGTTAAAACAAATAGCTTTTTTTTCGGTTTATTTGATGAATTCAAAATGCATCAGCTGTGTGAACTTATTGCTATTCGAATGTCAAAGCACGTGCTATCAAAAAGCTGTAAAGGTGCCCCAACAGTGGCACCATTATTTGCAACTTAGATTGAAAAAAAAGAAGGCTCGTACGGATACACTCGCTTCGCAAGTGTAAAGAATGTTGAAAATAACAAAGATGATAACAAAAAGGATTGAGTTGAGGTTTCTCTTACAGTTTCCCATAAAGCAATTTGCATCGAAACTTAAATTGAAATCGTTCATGAAGCAATTTGCATCAAAGAAATCCTGTACAAATCATTTTGCATGTTCACGCCAACACATTTGATTCTAGTCTTTAGCATCAAAAGTCATTTTAAATAGGCTTTTGTAAAACTTTGGTTCAGAAAATACTGAGGGGACGGATGAGTGAATAGAATGTTAAAAAATACTTGTCAACTTCTCGTCATCTTGCAGATCCTCCAGGAACAGCTCCCCGTATGTCTGCCAGTAGCTCATGTCCACTATTTGCAGCATGTTCACGAAGGACACTTCGCCATACCTCTTTGGCTCCGACACACTCTTCACTATCACCCCAAACGCCAGCATGAACAAAATCCAGATGAAGAAGAAACGCAACAACTCCGGGATCTACAAAACACACAGAGTTCAAATGAAGAGCAAACTCAAAACATAGCCAACAGACGGTTTGAAAAGTGTCAATGAACGCGAGGAGACTGAAAAAACCTTTCGAGTTTTTAGAAAAATTATATAAGACCGTAAAGCTCTTTGAATTTCAAGCTTTTTTATGATTTAAAATTTTTGATAAATTAATGCAGATTGACAAAACTGGATCGATTGGTAAAACTGTTTATGCCACAGCCAATACTAAAAACTTAATGCGAATTTCGAAACTAGAAGATGTTCACGTTATTTTTGCGCCGTTTCCACAATCGCAATTGGAGAAAGTAACTTACATTCCTTTAAGCAAATGAAATTTAATTAAACTTAAAAAGTACATATTTTGATAGCAGAGCATTTAGAGACTTCTTCCTGAAAAAAAGGTAAAAATCAACAGAGCTTATATATGAATGTCTTTAACGTTTCAGAAAAAGCTCTAAATGGTGAGAGCTCGGTAACATGAAAACAAATTTAGCCGTGTGCTGTGCAATTAGCACAGAAAGTTCTGATAATAAAAGTAAAATAACCAGCAGACAGTTAGAAAAGAATCAAGGATTGCAACAAACGAACAAAAATTGGCTTGAACTTCAACTTTCGAAGTTCAAAGTAAGAATATATGGCCTTACAGCTCTTCGAATTTTACTGTAACATATTATCTCAAGTGACTGAACCCCCTCAGAACAAAAGATACTTAAGTTCTAGATTAAGTTATTACTAATCACCAGCATATTTATTTACAACTAAATAATACCTTCAAAATGTAAAAGGAATTTTATGCGTCGTTATTGGAAATATGTTGATCTTTACATCTTCAAAAAAAACACATAATCGCTCTCAGCTGCTCTCCGTCAAAGCAAATTACGGCAGAAAGTCCTAATTGCAATTGACCTGCAAGCTGCATTTGATACTCTTGAACACAGTATATTAAATCGATTTGGATTGAAAGGTTAAGTTCTGAATTGGATCGAAATTTATCTCAGAATTTTTAATCATGACGAAAGGAAAAAAGTTCCTGCCAGCAGCAAAAGGGGAACCTCAAGGATCGATTATCTATGACTAAAATTCTTAAAAATTAGTTTTCAAATCTATGCAGACGACAAATTATTTTAATTGCTCGTGTTCTATTTGCAGTCTACAGAGCATTGGAGGCAGTTAGAAGAGCAGAGGTAACTGGTTCTCAAATGCAACCCTGAGAAGAACATCAACAAGACGAATCCGGCGGAGTTAATTGTTCTAGATTCAGATTCATCATCTTCATCAGATCAAATGTCAAACTCATCAACCGATGAATCACTGAGAATGGAAATAGCAAATTTCGGCGACCACTCCGATCTTGATAGTGAACTTTTCAACACTGAACTCGAAAACTTTTTAAAAGACTATAAAACTTTATAACCACTTAGATATACTTTAATCTGATATTCTGGCTTACCAAATAACACACATTACTGAGTAAACCGGTGCTAACATTCAGATATTAACGGCCGTTCACTAAACTTAAGAACTTAACCCTGCGGATAAAATTTCATGTAGTAAAAAGAAGACATCTTCACGTGTTTTCCTAAATTCTTTAATTCGCCTTCACTCCAGTTTGTGTTTTACAAACCAAGACCAACTCCATTAAAATTATGTGCTATCTACGCATTTTATCTTGTAAACCGGTGCTAATTTTCCAGTTACCAAAATGTGTTTGCTAAATTCGACAACTTTATCCTTCGGATAAATTTCACCCTACAAAAGAAATTATCATCTGTTGCTCCCATAATTTCTTTAAATCATATCCTCTTCACTCGCGCATTATAAACCATGACCTCACTCATAAAACGTGGTCCTAAATTCAGCGTTGTGCCAAAACTTGATGCCTTTATCTCATCTTAACATAACCCTTATCCATCGGAATCTGGATAACCTTTGTTGCTGTCATTTAACACTAGTGGAGCTTACTTAGTGTTAGTACCTCATCTTAAGGCGCTTTAATTTTCTTTCCTCGTCCTTGAAGGGGGAGAAAGGAGTCAGTCATAGTTAGTTATTGTGCATTACTATATTGCAATTTAAATTTTTTCCTGCTTAAGGGAATGTTGTGATTTTACATCAGGTTTTGCAATTATTGCTAAACATACTTATTTAATTAACTGGTCACTTAGTTATGACCTTCATTAGCCATTCTCTCCGGCGGAGAGAATGATCTCTCATTGTTTTAATGTTTTAACTTACCGACTAATTCATCTTAAATCTTATTCTTTTTAATAGTTTTAACTTAGAATTAGCTACAACAAAGTAACATTTTATCAGAGGTAGATTTTCGAATTGAGAAAATCCACTTAGGAACTTTTTCAAATATTGTGCTTTGTGACAATATTCAGTGTCGCAACAGTGTCTGAGAAATCGCAGGCACTGACGGCAATGACTGATACTCGCAATGATGAAATAAATGCCAGGTACACTGCAGGCAAATTTAAAAAAACGCCAAAACTTAGTTTTACACAGAGGCGAAGTTGCACTTCGCATTCACAAGCAAAAATATGACCGATAACGCTACTGATAAAAAACTGACTGAGTAAAACTTTGAGTCTACAAATTTTCTTACGTGACGCGAGCCAATTAAGAGTCTATGTATCTGCTAAGCGACGCAAGTCATTTATGACGCATTAGCAGTTCCAGTAGATTTTAAAAAAAGAAAATCAACCAAAATGCCTCAATTTATTCAGCGGACGCAATTTAGCTAGTATACGAAAAATTTCATTAAAACATCCGACCCTACCCATATTCGGACCCCACTTCGCATTCACAAGCAAAAATATGACCGATAACGCTACTGATAAAAAACTGACTGAGTAAAACTTTGAGTCTACAAATTTTCTTACGTGACGCGAGCCAATTAAGAGTCTATGTATCTGCTAAGCGACGCAAGTCATTTATGACGCATTAGCAGTTCCAGTAGATTTAAAAAAAAGAAAATCAACCAAAATGCCTGAATTTATTCAGCGGACGCATTTTAGCTAGTATACGAAAAATTTCATTAAAACATCCGACCCTACCCATATTCGGACCCTATTATTTTGTTGCGGGTCCCCTTCCCTGCCTCTGCGCTACAGATCCATGATACCTTGACGCTAAAGTGCTATTTGTAGAAAAAAGTCAGTCTTAATATCCTTAGCATTGCCTGTACTTAATAGCTGGTTATGCATCAAATTGAATACTTTCAAAATGAACACATTTTGTCGCAACCATATCTGCATCGCAACAATATTTGCGACTTAGGTTGCAAAAAAAGAGAGTTCATACTATAACACAAGCTTTGCTTGTGTAAAAAAGCCTTTTTTCGGCTCTTTGACCCACTTTTTTTCATTAACCCAATTGTTTTACACAACATTTTTGACCCAATTGATTTCTTCTCAGAGTTGTTCATACTAACTGAAGAAAAAAAACTGTGTAAGCTTTTATAGATTTTTGATAGTGAACGGTTTGGTAACGAAGCGCGATGAAAAAAAAACTGGCAATAAATTGCTGGCACTGATGGCACAGACAGATCACGCCTCGCATTGATTTGGCACTGACCGCACTGATACCGTGGCCACCCTGATATTGCACCTGGCTACAAATTTCTCTGCAGAACAGAGAAAATCATAAAAGTTTTAAGTTGCATGAAAAGGGAAACTCAAACGAACCATGGTGAGGATGATGGTGACGAGGGGTCCGAGTTTCCTGTTGATAGTGAAGATGTTCAGCACCCTCATAAACCAGAAGAATACATCAAGAATGTAGAGCAGCCTGGCAACATTGCGGACTGTGTCATCGGGGATGAAGCGCATTCCGAATGCGACCCAGAACAAGGTCACTCCGAACACATCTATCCAGTTCCAGATACTGGTGAAGTACTCAGTTAGTTTCTTCGCCAGCTTCCCACTCTCAGTCAGCACCTGAATAAAAAAATTTAGAGGTTTCCCATTTAATTTCAGTACAAACGAAATGGGGCGAGATTATCCAACGACTTATACATCTTAAGAGTATCCGCTTCTAAGCGTCTCTTATGTTAAAAATCCGTTTCATTATGCTTACGCAACCGTTCTAATGCTTCTTATAGTTAAGTATCAGAGTAACACTGAACTAGATAGTTGTTAAACACAAATATAGCCAACTTACAGTTGGAAAAGAGTAATTAAGGCAAGGAAACTGAAAAAAAACTAACTTGTTTTTTCCAAAACCTTCAACTTTTCAATTTCTAAGAAAAAAATAGATGGCCTTAAAACTCTTTGAATTTGTGGAACAATTTATGATGGATACTTTTTTGTTACAACTAACCCAATTTGAGAAAACTGGATCAATAGGTTAAACTTTTATTTCGAGTCTGATAATTAATTTCTATTTTCGAAATTAGAAGTCGATTACGTTTTTCGTGACCTTAACAATTTTGCTGTTCGATAGTGGAGTTTGCCTTCCTTTTCACAAAGAAAAGGACTAACTTGAAAAGAAATCAAGTCAGACCGTGAAAAGTAGATTTGAGCCTGAACAAACTAAGAACTTTCCTGAAAAAACTAAAAAATCAGCAAGACCTATATAAGAGTACTCACTGCGTTCATTGCTCTTAATAAGTCGATTACAAATGGACTAACTACATATTTATGATACATAAACGAGAAACGTGTACTAATTTAGAAAGGAAGAGCATCAAATGATAGCAAGATTTGGACCAGGGGTGTTCAAAAATTTGATGTGGACAAGAATTGATGAGGGGGTCAATTTCCTAATACCGCCCCTGATAAAAACACCAATTAATTGCAATTAATTGGTAATATCAATCAATTAATTGCAATTTGAGACGTTCAACAATCAATTAAAACAATTGCAATTAATTTAATTGCATGTAATTTTGAACACCCCTGATGTGGACTGCATACTTGTCGTATCTCCTCGGTTGTGATGGAAAGGACGAAGAAGGCGAGCACTATCTCTATGTAGGGCTGCTCGTGGGGCAGCTCTCCCAGCACAAAGTACGTGTACAGGATCAGGAACACAAAGAACAGCAGCTAAACACACAATTGATCAACTACTTAAAAATAAATACAAAAGTAATTTCAGGTTCGCAATCAGAAAAGTAGAAGTTTTTTGGTACAAATTATACCTAATGTCCAGGCTGAAAAACATGGTCCGTTTTCAAATGACTTTGAAGCCAATTACTTGAAGAAAATTAAAAGATAACCAGAATTGTACTGTATGTCCAGCTGAATTTCTTGTCTTTTAGCGGAGAATCCAGACGCCCAACCTACTTTTCTCTAAATCAGCTTCCATGAGCTATGAATTGTTGGCAAAATCTCACGTCAAAAATTTCAACTGCTCACATGCTGTAAAAACTTGAAGGGCATATGTGAAGCCCTTTTCAAATCATCCTTCTACAAAATTAATAGTTAATTTTAAAAATTTATCTGTCTCTAATTTACACCAGATTGTTTGTTTCAAATTTACACCAGATTGTTTGTTTCACCAGACACAAATTCTCAGACACACTGTGCATAAAAGTTTCCATCGTAATTTAGATGTAACGCCGGATCTACTTAAAAACAATCCCCCCCCCCCCATCCTTTCAAGAAAGGGGGGGGGGGTGGAGATTCTTTAGTAGATACAATAGGGGGGATTGTTAAGTAGATCCGCAACGCCTGCTAATCTCAAGCGTAATAAGCTCCGACGTGTAGTTTAGATGAAATTATTCATGCGGAAAAAGATGGACAAACTGACCGTGGTGAACCAGAACTTGGCGACAGGGGACGAGAAAAAGAGATACCACTTGGTAAAAATACTCTTCTCA